CTGCATGGAAATAGGAGGGGAAATAACTGCAATGGAGAAACCTGACAGCACCACCTCAGACAGGTGGTCAGAGTCACCATCATCAGTGATAAACCGTGTTGACAGCATGCACCCCTAATAGGATGCGATGAGAATGACACTTTCCCTCAGTAGTCTTCCTCCCCTAAACCCATCACTCCGATGCAGTAGGCAGAATAATGGTCCCCCACATGTCTACTTTCTAAACCTGAGAACCTGTGAGTACATTACCTTATGGCAAAATGGATTTTGCAGATGAGATTAAGGATACAGATCTTGAGAGGGAAAGATTATTCTGGATTATCTGGGTAGACCCAACTTAATCACATGAGTTCTTAAAAGAGAAGAGCCTTTACTGTCTCAGGAGAGGAGAGGGGAGAGGAAGGGGGAGGGGTGGGGGAATGCAATGGGAGAAATGGAAGGGTCAGAGAGAGTTGCTGGGGGGTAGATGGAGGAAGAGACCACCAGCCAAGGAAGCAGAAAAGGCAAGGAAAAAGAATCTCCCCAGAGAGGGACACAGCCCTGCTGACACCTTGATTCTGGCCCAGTCAGGCTCATGTCAGGCTTCTACCTACAGAATTGTAAGTAATACATTTGTGTTATTCCAGCCACTAAACTTGTCATAATTTGCTACCGCAGCAATAAAAAACTAAGGCATTCAGTCTAACCATAAGAAAAACATCAGCCTAGCTAATAATCAGGTTAATGAATTCCATTTTAAAAGGCCTGTACTGAACACAAAACCTAGGACTAGTTAAGGAGGTAAGATTTGCATACTGGAAACAATGAGGAAATCATCTTAGGGCAATGTATCAACTTGCAGGTTGCGTGGAGGCAAATTATGCTGCCAGTTCCCTCAAGTAACCTTTTGACAAGGACAGAGTTCACTGTTGTAGTGGCTTGAATGATGTCCCCCCAAAAGATAGGTCTACACCCTCACACCCAGAACCTGAGACTGTGACCTTACTGGAAATTGGCCTTGGCTGACATAATCAAGTGAAGGGTCTGGAAATGGTATCATTCCAGATGGTCCTGCTGGGCCCTCAATGCAAAGACAAGTGCCCTTATGAGAGACAGAGCGGAGAAGACAAAAGCAGAGACTGCAGGGATGGTGCTGCAGGCCACGGGACGCTGGGGCCACCAGCACCACAAGAACCAGGGGGGACTCCCCTAGAGCCTTCAAAGGCCAAGAACGACGGTCATAGTTATTCTGATGCTGTGTCTGTATAATGTTAATAACTACCGACTAACCACCTTTACCTTCCCAAGTGCATAAGGTCAAGTAGGTATAAAATCTTTATCCCTATAACTACAATATTTCATTTAACACCTGGATTCTGGGTTGGTTTGATTTTTATCATACCTCCTCTCAACCTCACAGTCCTGTGTGGTCCCATATGTAATTTATCCCCTTTCCAAGTTGATAATTTTCTAATATCAGGCAACTTCCTGATTTGGTGTTTCTTGCATTTTTATTCCTATCCAATGCCAGGAGCAATCAAGAGATTGGGGGGGAAATGGAATGGCACATAAAGACTAGTGTTTTGTTTAATTCTGACAAAAATGATCAAATGTAATTTTGTTTTCTCTCTCTTTACCTAAGGATAATTTTTTCAACCCTTTTTTTATATATTAAAACTTGTAATGAGGAAAACGAAATAGATGAAAACTAAATGTGTTTTCAGAGCAACAATAAGGCCAGTGATCTTGATAAACCTTAAACAGTAGAAAAAAATTAGTTATTTCATGTGGCTCAACAAAAATATGAATATACACATACATCCTACAGGGTAATTAACAAAACTTAAGGTTATGTCTGCTTGCTTTTAATGACATTACCTGACCAATGTTTAGCAGAATGACCCCTTTTTCTGAGAACAGTGAGATATCTGGACTAAACCCATATGCCCAGCTTTTTACCACCAGAGAAGGAAGGAAGCATATAGAACTAACATTGACTGAGGACATCCTATGCACCTGGCACTCTGCTGGGTGCCTGGACACCTTATCACCCTGAGCGTTACCCTGCGAGGGTGGGGATCTGATTCTCATTTTAGAATTCTATAGTCTCCGCCGGGTCTGCGGGAGCAGCATCCTCACTGGCATCTGCTTCTAGTTTTGCTTCCTGACAGTCCATTCTGGATTCAGATGCAACAGAGTGTTACTCAAATATATCAGGTCCCTTTCCTGCCTAGAGCCCTTCAGGCTTCCCCCCTGGTGATTGAAATAAAACCCACACTCCCTCCAATGGCCTGCAACACCTCTGCACATGGTCTGGCCCCACCCACCGAACGCTCTCTGGTTGCATCTGGGACTCCTGTCTTCCCCACTCACTCCCTGTGCTTCAGCCCAGGGGTCAGCCCCCAAGCCAAAGCCAGCCAACTGCCAGTGTTGGTACTGAGCTAAGAATGGTTTTTATATCTTTAAACAGAGGGGAAAGGAATCAAAAGAAGAGCAATATTTTGTGACATGTGACAATGATATACAATTCAAATGTCAGTGTCCTAAATAAAATTTCGCTGGATCACAGCCACACTCATTCATGTGTGAACTGCCCAGGCTGGCTTTTGTGCTACAATAGTTAAGTAGTTGCAGTCAAGACCCGATGGCCCATAACAGTTCAATTGTGGACTGAGTGGCCCTCTGCGAGAGCAGTGTGCTGACGCCTGCGTGAGTCACACCGGTCTCCTTTCTGTTCCTGAACTCACCCTGCTCATGCTCTCCTTGGGGCTTTCTACTTCCTGTTTCCTCTTCCTCTTTGCTTGGCTGGTTTGTTCTCAAATGATCTCACTGAACATGGACAAAAACAGCAGAAGGTCACATACTACCAGACTGGATCCCGAACCGAGAAGAAGGTCAGGCTCCAATCCTGGGTCAAGAGAGTGGGCTTAAGATTTGTTCTTTCCTATCGCAGCTGTGAGGAAGCGAGGAGCTTTCTCGAGGCCAGGGCTGCTCTGAACCCCACTGACCTGGTGACACCTGCAGTCCAAATGGACGATACCCCTCACCTGTTGCACCAGGGGACTAGGAAGCTGGAAGAAGAGACTGTGTGTTGCATCTCCAGCCTCGAGGGAACAGAGGAGGCTTAGAGACTCTCTTCACAGTCATTTCAGGACATCTCTGTCCTATCACAGCCAGCAGAGCAGTGTGCATTTGAGGACATGGGAACTTGGTGATCTGAGGACATGGGAACTTGTAGTAATATATAGAAATGTCTAAAAAGGTTTCAAAATGTTTGAGTTAACTTTCCTGAAACTTAAAGTTAAGGACACATACACCACTACCCTAAATGTGTGTATCCCATAGATAAGGATTTGAAGTTCGATTACTGACTTAAAGTGACTTGCTATTGAAACAGGAATTTTAGGGGTAAGATAGGACAGGTTTAGGAAATTTTAGAAATTTTGGAAATTAAGGGGACCATGGAGGAAAGCACAGGGCTGCAGAGCAGCAGAAGGTATATGTCCATAGAATGGGGGAGCTGGAAAGCGGCAACAGATACATTTCCATAGAATGAGGGAGCTGGAAACAGCAAAAGGTCTATATTTACAAAATAAAGAGAAGGAAGCCCTTCATCCAGAAGGAGAGAGGAAGAAAGCCCAAAGGGAATAGAAAGCAATAAGGAAGGAGGGGGGAGAACCTCACATGTCCCTGTGAGGTTCGACCTTTGCACCCAGGAGTTACTATAGTAACCAGTCCAAGGGAATAGTGACCAATCAGAGGGGATATCAAGGCACCAGGATCTGCAGCCTTTATAAGCCATAGGGAAAAGGAATTCAGAGGGACCCTTTTCCCCCTCTCTACGTGGGAGTCTATTCTGTGGGACTCTTTCCCTCTCCCCATGTGGGAGTCTGTACTTGTTCTTCAATAAATCTCGACCTTTGCTATACCACTTTTTGTCCATGAATTCATTCTTTGATTCTGGTGGACAAAGAATCCGGGTTCCAGTCCAAAAATTCCATATCACTATGATAGCCATATGTATGAGTTACACAAACCCGTACTTTCCCCAGATATGCACCTGCGAGTGCACACCCTGATTGATAACCACATGTAGCCCCTCACCCTGTTAAGATTAAGGTGTGTGCATTGACGTAATTCACTAATAGCCACCTGAACTGCTGCCGGTACGGACAGGCTTTAAAAACGGGTCCTGACCAGTCGACGGTGCTTGCCTGTCGAGACAGCCACAAAGGCACGTCCTTCTGCCAGTCCGACAGACAACGCCACACTGTGCCACTCCACGCTCCGCTCCCTGCCAGACGACAGAAGAACGGCTAGTACCTCTCGATCCAGACGCGACCAAGCTCTCAGCCCCTGCATCCAGATCGGACCAGCCCAACTGCTGAGCCCCAGAGGACACCACCACCGGAATCCCGTTAAGCCTGTACCCGCAGCATCAGGAACTTTTGTGAGTAATAAAATGCTGTGTGATTTGTAACTGCATATGTTTTAATGTGGTGTAATTCCTCTGGCAGTTAATTATATTACTTTGCGTATGCTTGAAACTGAAATTAAGGTTTTTGGTCTTTTCGGTCCTAAGCCTACCCTCAGTCCTGCTTGCGTAGAGTAGTCTCTTCGCTAGCAACTACTTAAATGTCCCAACACTTGCATGGTTAAGTTTATCTCAAGGGTCGCCTTGGATACACCCCAGATCCTTTTCCAGGATCTACTTGGGACAGAACTACATGGAAAGTGAGGTTTTCTTTCATCGAAGCACATGAACTGCAGGAGAAGGCAGGAGCCCTCTGGATAAAAGGGAAATAAGTCTAGTATGTGATACAGTCAAAGGGCACAGATCTGAGCTCTAAGGACCTCCGGTCTCCATATCAGCTGCAGCACCACCCAAGTCCTTTGCCCCCTCGGAGCCTGGGTCCTCTTCTGTAGAAGACCAACTTGCCTCATCTTCATAGAGATGCTTAAGGACCAAAGAAGAAAATCTCTTTGCAAACTGCATCTTAAGGAAATACAAAGTATTTTGCTCATCCTTTATTAATACCATGGAACAAGAACGCCAAATTCTACTTAATAAACATGACCGTGACAACCTCACAATTTTGCACTTATTTTAAGACTCCAAGTTAAATTGGCATGTTCCCAAATGTATTATTTTGTTCTTAAAATAAAGAAAAGATATGTTTAAGATTTTAAGGGAGGTTGGCTTAAAATGCAAACACTTTCTGAGAGGTGCAGGGGGCGATCTGCCTGAGGCAGAGATGAGAAAGGGAAGGTCACAGATCAAGGCCACCCAGGAGAGAACGGCAGCAATACCTCCTCTCGAATTTATGTGCCAGTTTTAGTTTAGTACATTTCTCAAAGCAATTCAGCGAATAGGGTCACTGTAGGAGCTGTGTTAGTGGAACTGCATGTGCCGAGTACCAAGGGGAGCGTTCTGACAGGCTACTGAGCGAACTCGAATTGAGACTTGAGGAAAGTGCAGTAAATCTGTAGAGAACGAGGACAGGCTGGGCTAAGGCTGGTTTTCACATAAACCCGTACCTCTGTTTAGGCCTGTGTGGCCCGGGAGCTGGGATATGTGGGCCCAAGTCGATGCTCTGACACGTTCTACTGAGTGAAGTTGCTCTCTGAAAACCAGTTTTCTTATCCATAAAATTGGGAATATGTGTGCTATCTCAGGGTTGTTGTGAGGAGTGGAGAGAATGGAGTAAAGCAACGTGCACTATGCCCTGCTCAGGGGAGCTGTTGTTACTGTTCTAACGTGCCAGGCCAGTTCCTACAGAGATGTGCACTCCCTTACAATCAGGCAGTCTTCACTAGGCTGTCCCGATACCAGACACCACTACAGATATTTGAGCGACAGCCCTAACCAGTTTGGCTCAGTGGATAGAGCGTCAGCCTGTGGACTGAAGGGTCCCAGGTTGGATTCCGGTCAAGGGCATGTACCTTGGTTGCGGGCACATCCCCAGTAGGGGGTGTGCAGGAGGCAGCTGATCGATGTTTCTCTCTTATCGATGTTTCTAACTCTCTATCCCTTTCCCTTTCTCTCTGTAAAAAAATCAATAAAATAAATATATTTTTTTTAAAAAAAGGTATTCGAGCAACAAAGCCTACCTGGGTACCTGGACATGATCAGTGATGAGAGCTTCACAAGAACAGACAGAACCACTGTCTTCCGCAGGTGCCGAGGCAGCGGTGAGACTTCTCTCGGCTGAAGGGTGGGTGGGAATGTAGGGTCTGACTCTGAAAATTCTTGCAAGGCCAGAGCCACAGGAATTCTTCAGAATGGAGCCCAGAGCCTAAGGAAAGAACCTAATCTTAGTCGAGAAGGAAAGCCAAACTCTGAGCCAGAACAGCGGACCTGAGTGTCAGGTTGGAAAGGTCAGAGCGGGAATCGAGAAAGCAGGCCCTGAGCCAGGGGAGGCCTGAGCAGGTGGGGTACATGAGTGGCTGCTGGGGGATACCTGGAGCGAGGGTGTGGCCGGGGCTCTTTCTTCAGCTGCCACTGCAGAACGAGCTGCCTGTGCAAGGCCAGTGACCCACTCCCACCTGCCCACACCTTCCTGGACGGATCCTTGCCGGCCGCCTAGCATAGCCCAGTGGCATCCACCGCTCTGCTCTTTCCTCCCCTGCAAAGAACAAGAGAATGAGAAGGGGAGCAGAGCTTGGGCGAGGTGAGAGGCTACTCACCAGGGCCAGCAGCTACAGGTGAGCAAGGAGACTCCAGGCCCCTAGCAATATGGGATGTTCCCTTGGCCACCCCTCCAGCCCACCTTCAAACCCAACTGTCTCAGCACAGATCTCTAAAGCAACTCACCAGGAATCTTCAAAGTTCAAGGGTTGGAGGTGGTGAGACCGACACAGGCTCTGACGGGAGACACCCCATTCCGGGTTGTGCTTGGTCTCCTCCATCGCATGTCCATCTTCACCGGCTGGCAGAGGATTTCCACATGATAGTGCAATATTATCAGCCAGTGTCTGAAAGATGACAGTTTAGGATTATAAATAATGTCTAGCCCTTGCTGGTTTGGCTCAGTGGATAGAGCATTGGCCTGCAGACTGAAGGGTCCCAGGTTCAATTCCGGTCAAGGGCATATGCCTGGGTTGTGGGCTTGATCCCCAATGCAGGGCATTCAGGAGGCAGCTGATAAATGATTCTCTCTCATCATTGATGTTTCTATCTCTCTATCCCTCTCCCTTCCCCTCTGAGATCAATAAAAATATATTTTAAAAAATAATAATGTATAAAATGGTGTGTGTGTGAAATGAATACTGAATATTTTTTAAGACTTGGTAAGCAATCATATACAGTTGTACTTTGTGAACTTCCAAGAAGAAAACATTGTACTAGAGAAAATGTTATGGGCTGAATGCATGTGTTAAAGTCCTAACCCCAGGTCCTCAGAATGTGATTGTGTTTGAAAACCTTTAAACAGCAAATTAAATTAAAGCGGGGTCCTCAGAATGGGCAACAATCCACTGACTAATGTCTTTATGAGAAAAGAACTTGGGCCACAGACAGAAACCCCAAACACGTGCCCGCACAGAGAGACGACCATTTGAGCACCCAGCTAGAAAGCGGCCATTCGCAAGCCAAGGAGAGAGGCTGCCGAAGAACCCAACCCTGCCAACACTTCCAGCCTCCAGAACTGCGAGGAAATCAAGGTCTGTGGACTAAGCCACCCAGACCGTGGCACTTCGCCATGGCAGACTAAGGCAGAAAACCTGTTCATCCCCTAACCGTCGCTTTGGGACAGCCTGGAGTAGCGTCGACAGTCATTTCAATACTGTTTTGTGAAATTTACTCTGGACGTGTGTTCATTTTTATTTGTTAGTGATCTAGTGTCACGGATTTACAAGCACTTACTTTCCCTACCTTTGCACTGACGCACACAAATCCTTAAATGGCCAGCCTCTGCCGTCACAGACAGACCACTGTGCGTCCCCAGCTATACCCCTAATGCCTGGCCAGGGCTTTGGCACTGTGGTGGCCGTGTACAGTGTCAATGTAGCCAGGCCAGAACTGTGTGTCCCGAAGAACCAGAGCAGCATCTGGGAGGCAGAGGCGGGACAGCAGCCATGCAGCCATGCGTGGAGTCAGAGGCTGGTGTATGTGCGTCGGCAGGCTCCTCTTATTGATCTGGGGCAGCAGCTCGGCCCATAGTTGCTCCATGGCTTCTTCAGCTTCTTTGAATCCTGGCAGGTGTGAAACTCCACGGCAAGGTGCCCCGCTCTTCCACAGGTCGCCTTCACCATCGAAGGTGGAGGACTGGAGGCATGAGAGACAGACATGGGACACGTGGGTTCCAGTTCATCCACATGGGTCTCCAGATGCTGTTTGTTCTCTTCCCACCGCTTCACGCCCATGGTCCCCTCATGAAGCCAGCCCATCCTGCTGACCAAGACCCAAGTCTTGACACAGGGACATCAGGTTGCACAGGCCGCTCAACCAGCGCCTATAATCAATACGCTCTAATCCCGACTAGAATTGCCTTGTTTCTCTTGAAATGGTTTTGCTTCTCTGATTCAACTTTCACTGATGCAGATTTTGGACCAGAGCGGGTGCTGCTGTAATAAACGCCTGAAACATGTGCAAAGGCTCTGGGACTGGCCTTGAAGTCTGCCTGTGAAGGCTTCTGTAAACAGGAGGAAAATATCACTGGAATCTGAAGGAAGGAGGCGCTTTTATGTGGTGGTGGGACGGTGAGCAACACTGACAGCATGGTGACTTGGGAAATAGAGAACAGTGAACTGTGTGACCTCGCTAAGGACAGTGCCAGGCACAGTGCAGGAAGTGCACCTGGCCTCGCCCAGCTGCCTACAGTAAAATGAGAGTAGGAAGATAAGCTAAAGAGCAAACAGTTAACGATAAAGGCGACAGGACCAGCAGAGTTCAAAAATAAAATGGTTTCTCATTCTCAGATGGCAAACAAAGTAAGAAATGGCTTCTGGATCTGGTTCCAGTGCAGATAAGTGAGCAGATGCCACGGTCTCTCTCCCACTGGTTACATCTAAAAACACTGTTCAGCCCTAGCCAGTGTGGCTCAGTGGACAGAGCATCAGCCTGCGGACTGAAGGGTCCCGGGTTCGATTCTGGTCAAGGGCACGTACCTCGGTTGCAGGCTCCTCCCCGGCCTGGGCCCTGATTGGGGACTGTGCAGGAGGCAACCAATCAATGTTTCTCTCACATTGATATTTCTCTGTCTTCCCCTCTCTTCCACTCTCTCTAAAAATCAATGGAAAAATATCTTCGTGTAATACTCTTTGTAATAATTTAAGCAATAAAAATATATATTTAAAAAAAAATATCTTCGTGTGAGGATTATAAATAAATAAATAAATAAATAAAATAAAAATACTGTTAAGCCCTGCTGATGTGGCCCAATGGTTCAGCATTGAACTATGAACCTGGAGGTCACTGTTTGATTCCCTGTACATGCCCGGGTTGCGGGGTAGATCCCCAGGAGGGGGCATGCAGGAGGCAGCCAATCTATGATATTTCTTTCTCATCAATGTTTCTATCTCTCTATCCCATTCCCTTCCTCTTTCTCTAAAAAACAAAAAAAAAAAAAAAAAAATCGATAAAACATATTTAAAAATAAATAAATAAAAACACTGTTCAGAATCCATAATGCAACTAGTAACGACTCTGAAAGGAAATAATAGCAAAGTCATTTGGGAAGGGAAATCAATACAAAGGTCGATAAGATGGTGGGTGTGTGTCTTGGGTGGTTTTCCTTCCATATCTCTTGGCATAGACTCAGAACAACCTGAAACTCAGAACTCCTGAAGTTGCACAGGTAAAGATCCGAGGGAAACCCTCTATGCTCAAAGGAATAGGGCAGAGAGAGTCATGCGGAAAACCCTCTGTTTTCCTCCCGACCTATCCAAATGCCATAAGCATTGAGATGTGGGGGTCTCAGGGAGAGAATGAGTGTATTTTGCACGTGGAAGGGGTGGCAGTCATTGAGGCCAGGGGGTAGACTGTAACTGACTATATCACCCCAAGATGGCCATCACAGGACCTCCTGTCCCACATGCAGTTTCCTGGCTTTTTCTTTGGCTCTACTCCCAAATTTACATAAGGAAAAGCAGAGTAAGGGAAGGGAAGGGTAATGGGGCAAAGGGTCATTTGTCCCTGATTAGCTAAATGCCCTTGGGCAAATTACAAAGATCACCTAATGAGATGAAGAAACCTAGGCAGGTTAAGTAGCCTAAAATATCAAAGGTGTGGCTGGTGGTAACACCAAGACAAGAACCCCTATTCTTTCCAATCCCAGAATGGGGCTTCTATTGCCCTAGAACCAGACTATTGCTACAAGTAAAGTATTCATTTAAATAAGAGAGACAAGCACCATGTCCACTGTCACCAAGGCCGAGCAGGAGGCTGTGGTCCAAGGACAGTGGCTGTCCATACCGGGCAGGCAAAGGGGCAAAGGGCCTTGGCACGCTCATCACATTTAAAGACCAGGGCTTGCCCTAGCTGGTTTGGCTCAGTGGATAGAGCGCTGGCCTGCAGACCAAAAGGTCCCGGGTTTGATTCTGGTCAAGAGCATGTACCTTGGTTGCAGGCTCCTCCCCGGCCTGGGCCCTGATCAGGGTGTGTGCAGGAGGCAAACCAATTGATGTGTTTCTCTCATTTCGATGAATCTCTGTCTTTCCCTCTCTCTAAAAAAAAAAAATCAGTGGAGAAAATATCCTTGGGTGAGGATTAAAAAAATAAAAAATGAAGACTAGGGCTCTGCTGTGCTGACCCAGAAACCCCAAGATTGGTGGCATCCCAGCAGCTGTCCCCAGAGACCGGCACTATAACCCAGGATCCAGGCTATTGCTTGGTAAGGGGGACAGGTCTTTCAAAGACCATTTCTCCTTCCTCAGGCCCTCCAGGGATCCAGGTGCCTCAGGGGCAGCGTGAGGAGCATGACATCAGAGCATGACCCCAGGGGCCCGGACACCTGATGAAGCATCCAGGCTCCGGGTAGGGGATCTCAGTGACTGTCACTTACATCCCCCCACTCCCTCCCTCTGCCAGTTCCTGCTTGAGAAGGTGGCGGTCAGCCATCATCCCCTTCCAATTAACAGTCATCCTTCCCTAGATAAAGTGAACACCGTTGATTCCTATTTCTCCAGATTAATAACACTTATTATGCTCAGTCTCAGATAAGTTAGTGCAGATGTCCTGGTATACAGAACACAGTGATTGGTTCAGGGCATCTCCACCTCCTTAGTCAATAATTTACCCGCTTTTCTTTAGTCTGACTCTCTGCATTATCTTTTGCTACATTCTCTTTTAGTCCCAGTGCTGCTGGAGAAATCAGTGGGTCCAGTTTCCCCGACATGAGTAGGAGTGGGGTTCTTGGGGTACCACTGGAATGAGCACTTCCGGAGTCGCCCACAGGGGAATGAATGGTGTTTATTGCCAAATTCTATTTCTCGGGTTGCAAAGTCCCTGCCCCTTGACCCAGTCCTGAAAAAGGTGCAGCTGGAGCTCTGGTAGAGCCAGAAGTAGGGCCAGTGTCCAGGGTGTTCCTTCCATAGTGGACCTGAGGCCGGAACAGCATTAGGCTAATCACAGTCCATTAGTCCATTGTGTGGAGTCCACTTGGCTGTGGGCCATGTGAGCAAAACAGGGCATTAGAGCCCTGCAAGCCAGAGGTCAGGGGCGAGCAGCTAGAGGGGGAGAAGGAGAGAGGAGGAGAGAGAGAGGGGGAGACAGGGGAAGAGGGAGAGAGGGAGAGAGGAAGAGGGAGAAAGGGAGAAACTTCCTTTGTTCAGGGATTAAGTATCTCAGATATCGTGCCCTTGCTGTGGCCACGCCTATTCTGGCCACTGACTGGCTCCCAGGTGTGACTGACAGGTAGGTGAGCACCCAGGCCTTACTGGGCCTGTGTCTATTGTCCAGTCCCTTCCCCAAGAGATCTGCGGGGCACAGACCTGTAGAGTGTTGACTGCAGCTTCCTGGCAAAGCTGTATAAGGGCGTGCCTAGATTATCTAGTCTCCTCTCTACTCCTTTCCTGTTAAATAATAACCAGGTGATGATAGCAGTATCACCAGAGGTTAACTTTATCTCAAAGTTGTGAGTGTCTTATTGTTACTCCCTGTGCTGACTACAGTATCTGCGAATACCAATGCCTAGTGACTAGTCTGGGTGCCAACCAAAGAATCCTCGTGGACCATATTTTGAGAAACCCTGACATTTGGCACCTATTATAGTTGCTCATTTAATACTTTTCCCCTATGGCACACGGGGCTGATTTTGCTGCACTGAAGCACACTTCAGTAGAACTCCCTAGTTATTCTCACCTCTTAGTCCATTTTCCATTTCCTTTTCTTCTTTTTGAATCTTTTGGCTGCCTTCCCCCCCTACACTTACACCATGACACTCACACACAGGTGTTAGCTACACTGACACACTGCCTCAGGCCCCGTGGACAGCAGCAAAGGTTAAATCCGTACTTTCGGGGACGAGCGTTACCTCCAGTTCTCCGCCAGGAGACCTCCCGGAGCATCAGTGTCCTCATCTGCCAATGGCAGCAGTCCCTTCTGTCACCTGTGTTCTTCACAAGACGGCTGTGAACGTCAAACAAGATAAGGTAGGTAAGAACACTCTGAAAGACCTGGCAAGCCACACACATGTAAGAAAAGCATTCGGGGAATTTGCGACAAAAAATAATTACACATCCGAGTATTGAAATTTGGCTTTTGTTCCTTGCTTGCATCTAATTAAATCAAAAGAAATGTCAGGTCTAAGATTCCTAGGGACCAGGATTCTGTTTTTGCTGGGCAAGAGAAACATGCTTTCAGTTTAAAGCTCCATCTGGAATTCTTACGGCTTTTTGTGCGGATCATTTTAATGCTAATGTAGGAAAGGTCAGCAGGGATATTCTAAATATACATCACTTTTATTTAATGAGTAACTTCATTAATAGTTATGGTTTGTCACGTGACCTGCCTTTTCACAAGCAAGAGTAGGTGCATGGCAAGCAAACCTTTGTGCCTGCCTGGGAGAGAGAGAGAGGAGACCCGCCCGGCACATTTAATGAGAGGTTTCACAGGGAACGCTGCGGGAGGCAGGCCCACTGTGCTCTGCCGGGGCGGGAGGGCTTTGTCCTGGTGTGTCACGCTCCAGAGGCCCTTGTTCACGGGAGCCACGGACGCGTCTGCAGTTGCTGGAAGGTGTGGAGATTTCGTTTTAAATAAAGAATGTTCTCCAGCTCCTGTGAGAACCCGCAGCTCTTGGCCCACTCGGTGCAAGAGGCTGAATGTGGTGCACGGACCCTGGAGCTGCTTCAGACCAAAGCAAATATTTTCCACTTCCAGGAATCAGTGAAGGGCCACCGATCAGCGGAATTCAAAATATTTCTCCAATTAAGCTACAGACCTACAGAGGCCGTTTGTTTTTGTTTCTTTTTTTAATCCTCACCCCAGTACATGCTTATTGATTTTAGAGGGAGGGAGGGGAGGGGAGAGAGAGAAACATCAATGTGAGAGAGAAACATCGGCCTGCTGCCTTTGAGACACGCCCCTACCAGGGATCCAACTCCCAGCCCAGGTATGTGCCCTGACCCTTCAGTGAACAGGACCGACGCTCCAACCAACCCAGCCAGAGTCAGCTTTGAACGTGAGAAGAAAGAGGACAGCAGTGTTACTAAAAAAGGAAAAAGGAAAAGAAAACGCTGTTCTTGAGACGACAGGGCGCTGTCAGCGAGCAGCCTGCAGCCCTTTCTGAGCGTCTGAACAAGGAAACACCTGCGTGCAGGGGGCCTTCGAAGCCCCACTCCCGCCTGGCAGAAGGGGAGAGTGTGTGGATTGTTCCGCGCTGTTACTACCAGTCAGGAAGGGAACCCAAGTTGTGTCACTGAGAAGCTGCCTTTTGGATACTGATTTTAAGCTGTTTGTTAAGAAATAAGACTCAGAAAGAACCTTTGAACCTCCCCCCTTTCCTGCCCAAGAAAGTCAGAGAGGCCTGCGTCAGGGATGGTCCCCTCGGCCTGATTTGAGTCGGTGTGGTAAACAGGAGGGCTTTACTCGGGGGGCTGCTGGCTAGATGCCCCCTGCCCCGTTGTCTCTGAGTTGCCTAGCAAGAATTTGCCTGCCATGGGCGTTCACTGTAAGTCACCCATTCTCGCTTCTGAAATCTAATACCACCCTTCACCCCCACCCCCACCCTTTCCTCCTCATCCAAAATGTCAATATCCAATGTTGCCTCACTGTCTTTGGAGCTTGCTTGCATATGTGCATGTATTAAAATTTCATTTTCTCCTGTTAATCTGTCTCTGTTCATTTGACTATTAGCCCAGATAGAACTTAGAAGGTGGGAGAAAAAGTATCAATTTTTTTAGCCCCCCCAGTTTGTATCTGGAAGAAGTGGAATACATGATGGACAGGCAACGTTAGCTGAATGAGTTAGATAGTGCACCCCATTATTTTAGTAACATTTTAACTTTAGGGGGGGTTTCTTTACAAAACTCCACCAGCCTGGAGCTACTGGCCTTTTCCTCTCTCTGCAGCTCTGACATCTCTGAGCCTCTTTCCAGTGAGATCACTGGTCTTAGGTACACATCCCTGGCACAGATGGAACCGCACTGCCAGGCCTCTTTCCTTCAGCTTCTTTTTATTGCAAACTTTTCCCACCTACCACATGTAAGGGTGTGTGCATAAATGTGCATGCAAACATTCTTTTTGTCAGAATTGAGAAAAGTGATGAAGCATTAGCGATGTCCTATTTCTGAGTGTGCAATATCAGCAGAACCTTCCATTTAACACTAAAAAAAAAAAAAAAAGGCGAGATTCTGTGTATTCCAGACATGTCCTTTGGCAGTGCCCGCCTCGAGTCACTCCTGTGAGCTCGGGTGGATGACTAGCCCTCAAAGACTGTCCCTGAGTGGAACCGAGATCGGAAGGTACAGTTTTTAAGTGTGGGATTTCCTACTCAGGACTTCCCAGCTCATTCCTGTCCCACCTGGTGGGGGGCGGAGATCGCTCACTGGCTCACAGGGTGAGGCAAGAGCCCACAGCTGGCCAGTCTGAGCTGTTTCTGAAGCTCAGAGCAGCTCTGACTCATCCCTCTTGCAGTCCGTTACCTTCCCACTCCTCTCACCAGACCAGCTACTCCTCTCACTCTGACTCCCACAAACCCACTTATTTTCAAATTGGCTCAATAACCATGACATTCAAACCCAACCTGCTCCATGCACAGTCTGCGAGAAAACACACAGTGAGAGTCGAGGGTCCACACAGAAATAACGGCCACAGACTGAGGACTGCTTTCCTGGCCGATGGGCGGTGAGAAAGTTGCTAATGAGAGGCAGCAGCGGGCTTCCGGACGTGTGCTGTCCTGCCCAATTGCATTAAGGGAATGCAGTCATCCCGACCGCTGGTTGTCAGGAAGCCACTCCAGATTTTAATTGAATTCACAGGCTCCTGCTTGATTAGGAACATAAGACTTTGGTGCCTAAACTGGATTGAGCTGGTAAGAACAAGCTCAAGTGGTTTTCTATCATAAAGTAGTGATGCTCGAACTTACTCTCCCTAGGACACTCCCAGGTCCTGTGGCCAAAGCCACAAAAGGAAAGTAAAAAAAAAACAAAAAAAAAAACACAACATTTTCAGAGGAAGTTTAGGTCCTTCTGCACGGTTCCAACCGCCAGTGCAATAAAACATGCAGTGAACATGTGAGGGGTTGCAGCTGGAGTGAAGAGAAACCAAGAGTTTGGTGCAAAGTCACTGTAACTAAGCAGCAATAGCATCAACCCTCCCCATCCTCCCGTGGATTTAAAGAGGTCTTCAGTTACACAGCCATTTCTGAGTTTGCGCCCTAAGTGGGCCTTTACCCAGTCAGAGTCCAAGCATCTAGAAGCCCCAATACTTTCAGAGGGGAAATTATTCAACAGAGTCATTCCACAATATTTGTTGAGGGCCTGCCATGTTTCAGCACTAAGACACAGGAGTTAAAACAACAGTTGCCTTGGAAATGAGCCCAATAAAATGAACTCTTGGACTATCCGTGGGAGCCCAGAGATACACATTCAACATGAGCCTGAATTAAAAAGAGAATCCATTTTCTATGTTGTGACTTCTTTACATTCCTTTGCTTTAAAGCAGTGGTTCTCAACCTGGGCTGCAACCTTGGAAATTCTGTTTCTTTGTTATGGGGTGGGGCCACAACATTAGTAACAAAGAAACAGAATTTCCGGAGGATGAGGCCCAGAAATCAGGATTTTAAAAAGATTCCCAGGTGATTCTAATGTGCAGCCAAAGTTGAGAACCACTGCTCTATAGTTTGCCTTTTAAAGACTGTGATGTAAATGGAATAATATAGTTTATAACCTTTGGTATCTGGCTACTTCACTTAACATAGAGCTTTTTATTTCATCCATGTTGTTGTGGGTACCAATAGTTCAGCCTTTTTAAGGCTGCATAGTATTCCTTTGCATGGATATATCCCTGTTGGTTTATCTATTCACCAGACCTTTGAGTTGTTTCTAGTTTGGGCTACTATAAATAAAGCTTCTAGAAACATTCGCTTGTAGGTCTTTGTATGAACATGTCCTCCTTTATCTTGGTTAAATAAATACATAGGAATAGGGTTATGGGTCATATAGAAAATGTATGTGTATGCTTGAGTTTATGAGAATTTTTCAAGTTGTTTTCCAAAGTGGCTAAACAATTTTGCATACAGCCCTAGCCAGTTTGACTCAGTGGATAGAGCCTGAAGAGTGAAGGGTCCCAGGTTCGATTCCGGCCAAGGGCACATGCCTGGGTTTCAGGCTCAATCCCCAGTAGGGGGCGTGCAGGAGGCAGCCAATCAATGATTCTCTCTCATCATTAATGTTTCTATCTCTCTCTCCCTCTTCCTTCCTCTCTGAAATCAATAAATATTTTTTAAAAAATTTGCATACAAACCAGCAATGAATGACAGTTCCAGTTGCTCAATATGCTTACTGACAAGAGGGTGGGGACAGAGATTTTTGCTTATGGAAATGTCACTAACACTAAAAGTCTTGAATGGCAATAAATCTTACATTGATTACAGAGGCAAGAGGACTTTCTCTCTACTCCATCCACTGACTACTCCGATTCAGGCTAAGGAGCATTGCTTCAAAGGAGAGTTGGAGTATAGGCGTTAGCCTTCCTTATCTGGAGCTACCTAGCAATCTGCACAGCACCTATAAGACACTCACTGGTGCCCTAGACAAAAACTTCATCCAAGAAAATCAAGTACTGCTGAATGTGTGACTCATTTGATTAATTAATACGAAGGCCTCTTAACTACAGTATTCTCATTGTTGCCATTGTTGATATTATCATCATCACTGACAAAGAGCCAGTGTGGCATATTAAGCAAGCCCGCTCCACGTCTTTGTCTCCCTCCTTTTAAGGAGGAGCTCTCCTCTTCTCCAAAGCCCATGCCCCCCTTGCACACAGGATACCAGCCCAGCCTTGCCTGCCCACTCAAGGAGTCTCTATCAGTTCCTCTTACCCTCTGTATCCACTTGTCCTCTCCCCTCATCAGCAGATAAACAAGCTGTAGCATATCCCACCTCAATAAAAAAAAATCCTCTCTTGAT